TGATTAATCAATGACTAATATAAGATCTGCGTACCTCCCCGTGCGGATAGTGATTACTCTGAGATTAGATAGTGCTAAATACGCCAGCTTGTCGATTTTCGCATATAGCTTCAGTCGAGCTCGTTTTTTTTTTGATAAAAAATTGGTACAGTAACATGTGTTGAGTATTAGTTGTTGTTTTCACAGTTGCTAGTTTTCATCTTAACTGCCTTTATTGCAAAAAAAGATTTATCAGTTCTGATTGTTATTCGTTTTCTAGAATTCCTGCTAAATACTTATGTTATTTTATTATTATTTTATAATAGTTACGTTCTTCTTTCTACTTAGACTTATTAAACTGTTAATTCTGTTACTTAAACATAGTTTCATATGACAGGCATGAGTTCTAAGCCTGGCACTTGTAGTCCAAACAGATTTTATACAGACTATAAACTAATTAAAAAAAAATCGAATATTTTCTAAGACCACTTATGATGAGTACTTGTGCAATACACGAAACAGTGTAGTATGGTGAGCCAAACTTCAATAAATTAACTATAATTTTTATTGTAACCTTTATATTTCTATTCGAACCCTTCATAGTTTAATTCTATTTGGCTTTTCTTTTAAAAATTATTCCTTTAGTTTTTTTTACCAATTAATCCGTTTGTATACTAATCATCTATTTATAATTGTCCTCTTTTATATTGCATATACTTATTCTATTAATATATAACTGTGTTAAATTATCATATACTAAATGATACGATTTTGAACTATTGGCATAGTTACAGATTTATATATCTACTTAGTCATCTACGTACGCGAGTATCTATTTTAATAAAATAGTTGCAATATGTCACTTTCAGTAGACTATAAACGCTAATTTTAAAACTTTTTGTTTTAACTTTTAGATGTATGCAGTGGAATTACTAAAACCACTAATTACTAATTAGACAATCTAAAAGTAAAAAATATAATTCATTTTATATAAATATATGTTGTTGTTGTTAAATTAACACAGTCTTTTTTAAAATTATGAGACTGTATTTTTCAATCGTGATTAATAAGACAAGATTAGTTGTCTGTTTATTGATATCCACACTAGTCTTCTAGTTTTTGACTAGACTGTAAACCATATAAATTCCCTAAAATGATTTAATGCAATACTATGATGCTCTGTACAACTAATTCGGTCAAAAAATGGTTTATTTACCGGGTCACTATGAATCGAACCTATAATTCGTGGTTAAATTTGGTTTGTGGTTACACTAAAAAAATTATAGTAATCACTATATTTTAATATGCAAAAGTATCATTAATCATTTTTAAATAATTTGTCGTCAGTTGTGTATAACAGTAGTATTGGTCCTAAGATCTACAATTTTTCTCACTTTAAATTTAAAAATTATTTGAATAATTTTCTAAAAAAATAATAGAAATGTGGTTTTCTTTTTAAATGAGAGATGACATTCCAAAATAAAATATAAATTCAAGTTTTTATTTTTCATGAACCACTGTAAAATCGTTAATATAATATCATTCTATTACTAACTTAATTAAGTAGTAGCAGGTGAAACGCCAAAATCTGAGAAGTAAATGTCAGGGGGAAGAGGGCTTGTTTTGGCAAGTTCGTCTGCCCTGCAGTTGCAGAGATATCACTATGTCCCGGAACCTAAATGAGTTGTACCCTGATTCGCCTAGCTAAGTCATTCAGGGAAGCTATGTAATTTGAAGTAATAATTGAGGTGGCTGAAGTGCCAATCAGTGATTCAGTGGCAGCTTGGTTATCCTAAAACATTGAGATAGCATTTTCAGGGATTTGATTGCCAAGAACCTATTTTACTGCATAATGGATTGCTTTTACTAAAAAAGCACTACAGTGGTTTGGTAATCGAAGCAAAAAGCTAAGGCTTAATTTTCTAGAGAATATGGCACAACCAACTCGATCATCTATTTTGGAGCCGCATAAGTAAACATGTACAGTGTTAAGAGAGATCACTGGGTTAAAGATCCAGTCTTTCCTTCTTGGTATTAGAAAGTCGAACCTCCGGTTAAGGTCTGGATTGGAGCACATGTAGTCATTTTAGACAGGGATTAACAGATCCTGGCTCAGTATTAACGCGTGGCCTATGTCAATTTTGGCCAACCATCAATAGGTCAAATAAAAATAAAAACGTTTGAAAAAATGCTTGTATATTGATAATATAATATCTCAATATTAATTAAGATAAGGGATGACAAAAAAATACATTAAATAAATCTGAACATTTCAACGACTTATTTGGGAAGACGGAAGGTCACTTTTGGGAGCTCTTTAAAAAAGTTTTAAACTATCTTGAACAAAGTAATAAATGAAGATTTTTTAAACATATAATAAATATATTGTTTTAAGTGTATTAAATATATGTACTCCATTTCAAACTTTTGTTATTAGTCGTTTATGAGACATTGTGGTGATATGCCATATAGTTTTATTTAATACCACGTACTGACTGGTACCATAATGTGAATAAATATTTTGATTTTGATGACCAATATGAAAACATAGCAATGGAAAACTGAGTACGACTTTGTGATAGTGTGAATAGCCACTAATATTTTATTGAATATTTGCAATTAAATAATCTAAAGAACATTACTCATACCTTATTTACTTCATTATGAACACCGCAGCTCATCTCCAACTTACTGTTCTTGTGAAATATTCTACAAATTCTTGTGAATCAACGCCTGTTTCATTACGTAAGCTTTTGGAACAAAAATTATAAATTTAAATAAAAAGCATAAATTTAAGTATACATTTTTAATTAAATTAAAAGTATTTCTTATTTAACCGAAAATCTCTCCAATATACTAATTATAGATTGCCTAAGCAATTTTTGCAATAAATTAGGTTTCTTTACATTTCAAAGTATTAAATAATTTGAAATTCTTGGGGATTCTGAAAAAATCATTAATATAGAAATCATTTTAAATTCGAGTACATATTTTAACAGGAATCATTATAGTATTTTTTGCAGTGAACTCCAATAATTTTAATATTAAAAGTTTTTGTATTTTATATACCATATTATGAATAATTTACATATATCTCTTTAACTTTTTAAGTGCTTTATAAATAACGTTTAATTAATAAGTCATTAAGCTTAGTTCGATATATTGTAGATATATGATCTATAATATAAATGCATTATAAAGAACTATTCTAAAATTTATTTTAAAAGTTTCAAATATATTGTCTTATGAAATCTTAGATGAAAAACGTGTCTGTAGCATACAAGACTTAGACTTTAGACTTCTTAGACTTTAAATGAATCTTAGACTTTAAGCCTCTTACCTTACCTTTACTTTAACTTTTATTCAAGGCTAAGGATTTTTTTCACATAATTTACTGTAAATACGTATTTAATTTATTCAGAAATATAAAACCTTTTTAAGGCCACAAAGATGCATTTATGCACACACGCAATGTCCTGATTACTTTTGATTACGAAAAACTTTTCTGTGGACTCTCCAAAGGCTTTGCGTGCAATCCATATTTTATTTGCCTGCAAGCGAACGGAACGCCCCGTCGCACAGTAGTCTATTTCGAATGCAAATTGACAAACGTGAGAACAAGAAATTAGATTTTTTTCCTAAGAAATGGTCACATACCATAAACTACTAAGTTTTATATTAAAATATAAAATATATACCTTACTAAAAGAAATAAATCTATTAGATGATTTCTTCATCTAAGAAATGGAAGTAAATTATATGCCCCATTTTTAATAAAATGATAGTGATATGGATATGGATATGGATATGGATGTGGATCATCAAAGAAAAAGTTAGTTTATTAAAAATCCATTAATTTGTTCCGAAATATGTTTTACATTTAAGTTGTTTTGGAAATTATGACACTTCGAATATTAATTGTATAGTACAGAATATTAATTTTTTTTTTCAAGAATACAGATACTTCTTCCGAAATCTCCATTTTCTTAAAAAAATTTTTTTGTTTCAATATTTTATTACCAGAAAACATTTGATTTTTTGCCACTACTGAACCACAGTGCGTCATTCAGCATTTTTTTTTATTGGAAATTTACGAGAAAGTCTATCAAGGAGAAGGAGTATGAGAGTTTGTGTGATTTGCGTAGTTTTCTCACAAATATATGACTTTTATTCATTCTAAAAATAACTTTATGCATTGCTGAATAATTTATTTCTATTATTATTATTATTAATTTATTTTTAAAAAAATTTTTTTTTAATTAATATTTATTTGTTTCACTTATTTTTAAAATATCGATGACATTGATAATAATTTGATTTTCATACTAATACATGTTATTTAATATTGAATACCAATTTTAATATTAATAATAATATTTAATATTTAATATCAATAATAATATCAGTAATAATTTGTAATTTAACGTTAAATTTTCTAGACGGAAGTGACTATTATATTTAATAGAAGCTAGTATATTTTATAAAGAGGTTTTTCGAATAGTAGAGAACTACAACAACAAAAATTTATTTTTTATTATTTTAATTAATTGAATTTTTGGCTGACCACACAGCTGTTTCGAGTTTTTCCAAATACCCATCATCAGCGGTCTTGGAAATAATTCTTGTATTTAATTATTCGTAACTAATTATTTGAGACTGCAAGTACCAGGAATCGAACTCGTGCCCTGACAAATTTGAAGCTCAGAGTCAGCGCACCGTAACCAACTGACCCAAAGCCATACTTGACTTTTATGTTCGCACATTTTTCTGGAGTTTTGTTAATTTATTGTGAAAGTTTTAACAAATTTACTTGTTGTGTTTATATTAGAACGAAATCATAAAGCCGCTGTAGAATAATTGAATTAATTAATTATATTTTTTTTATTTTTAATTGTTAAATTTGAATACTATTCTGTTTGTAGAGGCAGAACTGTGCTATTAATACTTAACGAAAATATTTAATGAAAATATTTATTAAAATTTAATAATTTTTTTCTATTTAGATGATCTTTTTTATCTCATCTTTAACAAAGTTGAATATCAAATGCTTTAAAATTCTTAACATTTTGTTGTAAAATGTTTAAGCCGTTCAAGAACTTCATTAGTTATATACAAAAGAATGCCACTTCCACGACAATATTTGGTGCTCAATGTAATATAGCCAATAACAGCGAAGCTGAGCAGCAATCGCTAACTTTACCCTCTAATTGTAGAGAAAGTCAAGATTCTCCTAAGAGAAAAGCAACGGATATTTTAAAAAAAATGGAACCGACGAAAAAAATGAAACTTGAGGATTACAGTGTTGCCACTGTAATTGATAAGGACATCATGAAAAGTAATTTTGACTATGGTGATGTCGATATAGAAACACAATTAAAAACTACAATTATACCATTAAAAATACCGACGAAAAGCAGTAAAAATGCCTTCTGTGGTGATAATGACGAAAAAGAAATTATCGTTTCAGAAAATTTAAATGAACCGGAAGGTATTAATGGTAAAGAATATATCAATTTGCAAAATAAGGAAATAAATGGCTCAACTGAAGACTTTTACTCGGTAAGCAGTATTGAACTGAATTGTGATGAAGACACAGCTGAAGAGATCGTCATCGAAGACGAAGATGTGGAAGAAAATTTTGTTGATTTATCACAGGACGAGGATACTTATACTGGTAAGCATAATCCTATAATACTCATTTTCTCTTTTTCTATCATCTCCTTCTTCCAGTGAAGCATAGGTTGTATTATTTGCTATTATAACTAAAAATTTCAACTATTCAGTTCGAAAATAAATTAAAATCATATTTTAAATTTTCGATCAAGTTATCATTTACTACATTTAAATTTGTTTTTTTAAATACCTTTTACGTATTTTATTTTTTTTTGAGATATGCATAATTTACAATTTATTTATTAATTAATTATATTAAATGTGTGGTAAAAAATCTAAATTATTTCAACTAATAACTTAAATTCATTGCAGCTGATAGAGAAATAATTGTGATAACTGATGTGGAAATGAATTCGTCTTTAGCTTCGGAAGCTCCTTCTGAGGATCCACTAGCACTTGAGGATTTTGCATCCGCTTGTAGCAAAAAAACATTTTCAACATCTATAGATGAATCTACAATTGATGAAGGTTCAGCTAACGAAGATATTATATGGTTAGATGTTAGTTCAGAAAAGTCAAAAGAATCAATAACACTACATTTCGATAAGGACTTATGTGATACCACACCAAATAGCACTTTATCTAGTTCATCCATAGAAACACCACAACGAACTGCACCAAAGTCAGCACACTCTCAAGAAAGTAACTTAATCAGCAGTCAAACGACTGCCGTTGTTGATACCACAGACGAGCTGCCCAGTGATAATTCAGACTCAGGTTTAGGTAATGAAACTATAAGATGCACTATAGATGCTAACTCCTTAGCTGCTGCCTCAAGCACAACACCAAAATCGCCACTACAAAAATCTACCAAACAAAATGAAAATTTTGTTAATACTTCGCCAAATCATTCGATAACTCCACTTAGAAGTGCGTTGCGGTCCAGTCTAAAGCGCCGTTTTATAGATAATAGCACTGAATCAGGAGTAGTGGATGAAAAAAAAGAGAAGCGTTCAATTAATTTTGACTCAGTGCAAGTGTTTTATTTTCCACGGCAACAAGGTTTTGGATGTGTGCCATCGACAGGTGGTTGTACCCTTGGTATGGGTGCGCAGCATGTATCTTTTAAAACTCTTACCTTAGCTGAACATGCTGCAGAAATCAGACGTGCCCATCGGTTACAATTACAGGAGATAAACCCGCGCGGCTCTTCTGAGGATGAGACTGAAGAATCCGAAGAAGACTATTTGAGTGAAGGCAGTGGATCAGATTTAGATGGTGAAACAAATGGTTTCCTACAACCAGTTTCTCCACGGCAAAGACGATCAATATTAAAGGCAGCGGGAGTACGTAAAATTGATGCAAGCGAAAAAAAGGAATGCAGAGATATACGAAACTCTCGTGACAATTGTGGATGCACTTGTCGAGATTTTTGTGATCCGGAAACATGTTCATGTAACCAAGCAGGGATCAAGTGTCAGGTGAGAAATACTTTTATGATCATATACTGATATACTTTATCCAAATTTTTCATATACATAATGGAAAGGGATTATATTAGTTTGAAGTAGTTGTTACAAAGACTTAATTATAAGGAGATAATTGTATAATTTAGTGATAAACTACAATAAAATTTTTAAGTAACAGTGTGTTTTATAACTGCTGATTTTGAATACTTGTCAGTATGACTCTAATTGATTGTCCATATACCATAAAAATTGAATACTTGAAATCTTCTTGTATATATAGATATTTTGGTCAAAATGGATACTAATGTATGTATAATTACATATTTGGCATATTTAAGTCATATCAATTTATACATACCTATGTGAATATTGCTGTTATACGTATTCATATATATGTTTTTATCTATTTGTTTAGTGTGTCTTTTTAACAACGAAACTCAAGCAGGAGTTTATTCTAATCACGAGTGCCAACAGCGGTCTTTAATCTTGCATACTGTTAAAGTATGTTTTTCTGGAATATATTTAATTTGTAATTTGGTTTTTAACAGACCTTCTAAATAAATATGATATATGCATCAAGCTGTACGAAATCTCCTAATGTCTCGTGTTAACCAAATACTTGTTAGGTATAAACTTGTCTATTTCTAATGTTTGTCTTAATCGTAATTCTACTAAACATTAATTTATTTTATAACATATTTTTACGTCAGCCCAATCAATTCATGAGTTGGCAAGATTCCCGAATTTATTTTCAATTTGGTTTGAAGCAAGCTCCAACACACAGTTTTTCCTTTTCTCCTGTACTGAATTCCACTCAGTGAATTTCCAATTATAATCTTTTTACTTGATATATTCAAGAATGAGATACAAAACTACTCGGGTAACATTTTTTGAACCAAATTGAGGCAACAGTTTTTGCATGACAAGCTCTTATCTAAATTAAATATTTGAATGCATTATAAACATGCCGTATACAATAGAGCTGAGAGATTGAAATTTATAAAAGTCTACTAAACAAACTACTGAATCAAATATAATTTTTTATAAGAACAAATTTACCATTTATATAGCGAAAATCATCACTAATAGCATAGAGAAGAATTTGATTTTAATTTAGTGGTCTCAAGAACCTGTAGTTATAATATGAAGATAGAATTATTTGTGTATAGTTTTGAATAAAATGTTTTTTATTTTATTTTTTTTAATGTTAGGTTGATCGTCTTATGTTTCCCTGTGGTTGTTCACGAGATGCATGTGGTAATACTATCGGTCGCGTGGAATTTAACCCATCACGTGTACGTACGCACTTTATTCATACAATTATGCGTTTAGAAATGGAGCAGCGTCCTCAGCAAAGTCCAAACAATGGTCTCGGCTATGGTTTACAGTCAGTTGGGGCACACGTGTTAAATTCACCACCGCATCAGCTCGCAACAAATTTTTATTTATCAAATATGCATTCACAATCAAACTATAGCTCAGGATATGCCTCACCTGCTTATAATAATAATGAACATACTGCCAATTATTATCAGTCGCAACAAGATCACCAACAGTTACCTCCTACGCATTACAATAGCGTATCAAGCACACATTTTGGGCTAGAAGGTTTAGATTCAAATCTATTTAATGGCACTACCAGTTCAACACCTGCTTATGGCGAAATAATTCCTGCCTATGGTAATATGAGCACTGCCCCTTCTCATACACCGTATTATACCATCAATTATCCAAATGTTAATACTGGTATACAAAATCAGGTACCTAAATTTAAAAACAAGTTACATTTATTTATATTATTTAATCAATTATTTTACATTAGGTATCAGAATATTCACCTTACCATCTGCCTTCATCCACGAGTTACCTACCACAAGCAACATTTAGTTCGTGTGCGGTACCTTCTGAACCACCGTACGGTTCGGCTACAACTACAGCAACTACTACGCAGTATCATAGTGGTTCTCCAATAAGCCTTGATACCACCGCCTCAACTAGTTGCACTGCAATTGAAGCAAGCGAAACTAATTTCATTAATTTGAGCGCCCCAATCGCTAGTTCCTCGCGCTTGTCACAAATAAATGATTTACTACAACATAATCGGAATACCACAGCAGCCTTAGTAGCTGTTACAGAGAGTGCGACTGCGAGTGCGAGTGCAAGTGCGAGTACAAACTGTTTAGCGTCACATACCGTAGTACTTTCACATACAGTAACAGTCGTAAATGATTCCATAGATACTCCACCGATTGAAAACATGCCCAAGCCGTACACAGTTTTCGAGGAACTGAAACCAGCAATAATTGTTTCTGATATAAGTAAGCAATGCAACGATGAAATTGAATTAGAAACTGTATGTATCGATAGTGACAGCAGCGTAGAAGTAGTTGATGTTGATAAGTCTACCGAACTAAATTGCAATTCACCAGTTGACATAATTGTAGATAATCTAGATGCCGTTATTGAAATTAAATCGGATGATTTTGACGCCGCTGATGTTGATAATATTGATAAAGGAAATGATAAAAATGATATAGAAGAAATAATTGAAATAAAAACTGATGGCAACTTTGTGGAAAGTCAGAATATAGAAAAGCTAGATTATACAGAAAATGCTGGAGACAATGAAGAATTAGTTGAGAAAAAAATTATAAGTGATTTCGTAGAAAACGTGGAAGCTAATGAAACTAAAAATGAAATACAAAACAGTGAACCAGAGCAACACATTGAGACGGTTACAATCACAAAAGCAATTTTAATTATTGAGACTGTCGAGGATACAGATAATTCTAAGAGTTTAGATAACAGCATGGAACTTACAGAAGCTTTAACAACTCGCAAGGAAATTATTGATGAGATTAATGAAAATACTAATGATACTAAAATTAGACTTATCAAGAATGAGACAAATGATGTAGATGTTGTTGAAAAAATTGATTGTATTAACGCAAGTAACGCAAGTTGCGAAGTAGTTGATAAAGAAGAAGAACTTAAGCATTCTGTTTGTATAGATGTTGAAAATTCTCCAGAAGTAGTAGAATCTGTAGAAGTAAAACTAAATATTTGTGCTGAAACAGAAAAAGTGAATTGTATTGAAGATAAAGTAAATAAATCTGTTGTACCAGAAGTTCATGAAGAAACAGCATGCTCTGGACAACTAACTCAAAAAATTCAAAGTTCTGTGGAAGCTGAAAATATTGATAACATATCTGGTAAACCAGTCAAATGCGATTAAAATTACTTTAAAGAAATCATTACTTATTTGATACTAAATATATTTACTTAAGAGATTTGTTGCTATTATATTTAAAGAAAGACCGCAATAATAAGTAAGCAAAAATTCAACGCCACAAGGAATGGCGTTGCCATAAGTAACTTAAAAACTTTATAACAGAAATGATGCCAGATTTGCCTTACTATAATATTTTCAACAGTTTCCCTTAAATCGGATGTCATTTCTTAAAAATTACGCTAAATCCATGTTGAGTGATTTTTGAAACTTATAAAAAATTCGTGCGCAAATCCGTTTACATATTTTCAAGCGTCACTCTTTACAAGGAACGCTTACATTTGTATATTTCTCGTGTCGAAGTTCTCCTTATTTAAAAGCTCAATTCTTACAGCAGCATAACTCATTTTTAATGTATTTTATATATACTTATTTTTCTATTTATCTCGCGCAGTGAAAGCGTGCTGGGCCCATAACTTGTAGAAATAACCTGTTACCGTAAGTAACTTAAAAACTATGTAACAGAAATGATGCCAGTTTTGCCTTACTAAAATATTTTCAACAGTTTAAGTTATTTTTTTTTAGCTTGAACACATTTAAAATATGTGTTCAATACCAAATCCATTTGGTATTGAATATAAGTTGTTTAATTATAAAATTAATTTTCAATTTTTAACTTCCAACATTCAAACGAATTTAACACTATACACTATACACTATACACTATATATTAGACACAAGCAACAATATTTGACATTATATATGACTTCTATTTAACTAATATATTTAAAACCATATATCGTTTTTTGTATAATTTATAGCCTTAATTTATACATACATAATATTTGTGTTTATGTATATATGTTTTTATGATAAATATTACATTTTAATTGTAATTAGACTTACAAACATGCCTACTTCATAAATACATATACAACAAGTATACATTTTTAAGAAACAAATATATATAAACAAGTTATTTTATTGTAAAGATATAATTTTATAATTTTGTTAAATATAAATGTAGTGAAACTATTTAAATTATAATTTATTATATGAGTTAGAATTTTAATTTATAGATTAAGCCACAATTTGCTGTATCAAAAGCTGTATTTTGAACATAAATTTTAAATTAGAAATGAAAATTAATGAAATTAACCCTAAGATTAAAATTTATATACTCCTATATATTAGGTTAACATTATGTTATATAGTGTTTTATTAAGATCTTTAAGTTTAAATGTCAGCAAATCCCAAGTCCCTTTATTATATAGTTAAGTTCTCGCTAGATATATAAAAATAAAACAACAAAATGGTTTAGATTTAACATTATATATTATACATAAAATTATGTATTTTTTTTATATATTGAAACTAGCATTTACTGTGATTTATTTTGTGACTTAATATATTTGTTAAAAGATTCTATTTGTATTTTCTAAAACCAAATGCCTTCTGGACATTTTTCGAACTTCATAGATTTAAAAAACACATTAGTTGATTGTTATGTCAGAGATTTAATTATATAGTAGACTTTTGCACAGCTGCGTATCCAGATCCTTGACATAATTTACAGATACTAAAACTAAACAATTCTGATATATTTTGGTTTTCTATTGAATTACTTTAACTAAAAATATTGATAATGAAACATTGAAACATTTGAGAAACTCATTTACTATAAAAAAAGATATGATGAAGGAGTTAGTTATAGTTTTTGAGCGAAGAGTGTATTTATATACGTATGTATAAACGTAAGAATAACAACAATAATTAAAACATAAAATAAATAAATAGATATGTTTATGTATATATGGATGGGTATATAAATCAAACTGCCGTTTAATCTTATTATTTAATTGTATAAAAACTAAGACAAAATACCTTTCATTATTTCAAATGTGTTTTATATGCAATGTTTTTTATTAAGAGAAATATTTTTGTTTGTTATTTATAAGTATTTAATCGTTTGTAATATAATATTTACATTTTTTTTTACCAAGTTTTAAAAGGAACTTTCAACCTATTAAGATTTAAGTCCATAAGTGTATAGTAAAAATATAGTTCAATAATGACAATATATGCCATTTATTTATTTATAATTAAGAAATGTATTTATATTATTTTGGTAAAAAAACTATTTAAACTGATTTCATGACTTGTGAAAATGTTTTCACACATGTAGTCATACTTATTTCCATTATTAACAAAGATAGTTCTCATTCAGATATTTAAATGTTATAATCAAAGGAAATTATTTAATTGAACAAATATTTATTATGTTTTATTTATATTATTAAACTTTTTGGATATCTTGTATTACTAATCTATTCATGGCTTTTTGTCACGCTTCCTTTAAGAACAGCTTTTCTACATTTTTTCTATGTATGAATGGATTTCAGAACCTTGTATTTTAAATTTTTTAATGAAATTTGGCAATAATTGAAAGTCGCCGGCACATATCAAAATATACCTTCGAAACAAAAAACATTTATTTTTTATTAAATACATATTTACATTTCATTCAATATTTAAAACAATACTAAAAAAAATATTAAGTCACAAAATAATAATCAGTCAATGATTACAATATTTATTATGGATATGCTAAAAATATATAGCTCTTATATTGTTTAACACTATTTTTGTTTCATTTCAAATTTTGTAATTAATTAATTTTTTAATTATTGGTTACTGTTTTTCCAATATTTATTTGGCTTAAATTAAATTTGTGAGTATGTCATAAACAAATTCTTCCTGAAAAAAAATATATGAAATAACTTTAGATAAAATTCTGTAGTTTATTGCTTTAAAATATAATTTAAACAATTTATAAAATAGTAAAAGCGTATAACTTTTTTTACTTCTGTAAGATACTCAAAGTTAGTAAAATATAAATTTCTTTTCATATATATAAAGCATTAAACTAATGTTAATTTGGCATAACTATAAATTATTGTTACTTTTTTGATTCTACTCATTTTTTTTAATTGTAGTATTTTTTAAACTATTTAACATAACTTGAACTATTTACAATTAATCGAAATATATTAAAAGACTCCATAAAATACTTATATACATTATTATATAGGATTGTATATTTTTGCATTTTCAATAATGTTTATTTATTAAATAAATATATAATTTATATAAATTGTAAAAAAAAAATTTAGCGCCATGCACTAAAGTGTAAATTCAATACAAACAAAAAGTATAATTTGTATATTGTTTTTTTTTATTTATTTTTAAATACTTATAAATTCTGAAAATCAAATATTTAACTTTGTTAACTTTTAACTAAATATATATATATATATAGATATAATTTTTAAAAATATTGTGTAAGTAATAGCAAATAATGGCTTTGTTAACAAATGGAATTAATTTATAATATATTTTCACTTTTAAAATATATTTTTTAATTTTTGTTTTAATTGTGTAAATAGTTTTATAAACAATTTATGAAATCGTTTATTTGAAATTAAGAGATTATTTGGCTTGAATATATTAATTTCAAATTATTCTTAAATCTTTTTTTTTAAATATGAAATTCTTGAAATTATATAGTATATTTCTTACATATCAAAATATATTCTATACCAAAGTCTATAATTTATATTATTTATATATGTTATAAAAAATTCTTTATTCTTAATATATTTTATTATTTTTATTTAAAAATTTGTCTGTAATTTATGTTATTTATATATGTTATAAAAAAATTTTATTCTCGATATATTTCATTATTTTTGTTTTAAAATATACATATATGTTATGAAAATTTTAATTACATTTTATAGGGTAGAAATAGGAATTGTATATTTTAGTTAATTCAAATAAACTATTTCGTCAAAGGATATTTGTACTTTTTGTTTAATAGTTCGCTTGTTTTTATTTAGTTCAATTGATCATTTAGTTCAGTAATATATAAATAAATCCATTTATTTCTGTTTGGTATAGACCACACACAAGTACCGCTCTATTTTTACTTCAATCACAAATACCATTAATGAACCAATTTTAAAAATTTTGTGTATATTATATTAAAACACCAAATTTCTACATATAAAATAAAAAAAAATTGAAAGTAAACTCATTGAATTCCTAAAGGAAAAATATTGGTATTTTCAAAATTAAAATATCCACCAAAAATATAAGTTTTATGCTTGAAACTATAGTAAAATAATTTTCAAGAGAAGTGCATAGCAATATGTGGAGATCGGTTTGCTCCCACAACATGCACTTGTTTCATCAACAAATATAAATGGAAAAAGTGGTACTGATTCAACATAGCTACTCTAATGGAGCAGCTTTCTAAATTGACATATTGTTTAATAAACAAAATTTTTAATCAATTGATCTTGTCAATTGATATTTTCCCTTAATTACACATTAATATTAATATCAAATATTAATATTAAATTATACAAATAAAGCAATTATTAAATAAAATAATAAAATTAATGATTGAATTAAAATGACTAATTGAACTAAACTATTTCACTAGTAAACGAGAAAGAGCGGAATGAACTCTATTAGTTTGTTTATAAAGTTCTGCTATATAACTATATAATTTTAACTTAGTGTTTTGCTCATTTTAATTATATTTAATAATATTAAAATTCTAACATTATGCCTGCTATTATATATATATATAAAATTGTATATTATTCAAAAGAAAAATATATATTAATTAATTAATGTATATAATTGGTATATATTATGTATTAACTGGTCAATTCTATGCCATACATATGTTTTATATAAAAAAGTTTGAAATTTTTATTTTTTTTAAATACAGCTTTATTGATATTCGTTAATTTTTAAAATAATTTAATAAAATGAAATACACTTATTGACACAATTCCGATTACCTCAGTGGGGCCATTTAACAATGAATAAGTTCGAAACCTACCTACCTCTTATTACTTGTCGTTTGTTGTCTTGTTGTGACCTGCGAATGTCTATAATAGATAACATAAAAGGAATTACAAATACATGGGTTAGGATGTGGGTAGGTGATTGTAGTGTGAAAAGGGAGAATATTGTTTAGGAACACTA